TTCATCATTTGTTTTCACGTTTACGTTTCCATTTACCATAAAAATAGAAATATAGGTGTGTTCTTTGCATCACTGCACCTAAACAATCTCAATTTTGTGGACAGACAGACAATACACAGTGTACATTCTTATCAGATTAGACTTATGTTGGAGGAAGTATGGACAAGACTTAGCTAATGATAATTTTTAAAGTTCATTGTTGCCTGCTAGATACAAATGTAGTTGATTTAAGAATTGTTGTAATACAATATCAGTAAAAATAAAGCTTTTTGTGTATGTCCTATGTAAAAGTATATTTCTTTTGTAGTGAATTAGCTGAGGCACCATGTCTGACTCGTTTGACGAGATGGAAAAGCCCCCTGCCCCACCCGTCAGACACACAAGTACAAGGTAAGTAGTTAGCTACGTGTCGCCCAAGACTACAAGGAGATGCATTTATGCGTACAGAACTTATTGTTAACTAAAGATAAGTCTGTAGATATTCTAGTGTCATTTATAACTTACCATATTTTCTAGGCTATAAACCGCACCTGAGTATAAGCCGAATGACTTGCTTTTAGTGGTTTTTTGTCGATTTCATCCACGTATAAGACACACCGGGATGTAAGCCTCATCCTTTCTTAGGATGTGGTAACCGTTAAGTTGACTAAAGTTCATTGATATAAGAGACAGTGGAAGGCAATTTATCAAGATCATCAGTGAAACATTTAATAAAGTTTTCAAATGAGTTATACATAGATAGTTCTTTATTTTCTTGATGCATTTTAAAAAAATAGCAATTATCAAAGTCGATGCATTTTAAAAAAATAGCAATTATCAAAGTCGTTTGGCTTGGAAGTCTTCAAAGATTGTCTACCCATAGATTTTGGGCCTGACGTTATGTGCTATTTATGTGTAAGCAAAAAATGATTAGATGTCATTTCCTATTTAAGATAGTCATGCTTTGTTGATGTAATGATACATTAAGAGGATTTGTTTGTCAATAAAACTAGCTAGAATACGGTCAGATTGTATTATAGGAACCATACCTCACAATATTCTGTCTTTTGAGTTATCTGCTCTTGTGTGTAGTTATTGATAATTTGTCAGTTTCGTTTGTTACAGTAACGTCATGAGAAAAATATGTAATTTTCTTATACAATCTAATTATGTAACAATCATGATCAGTACTTGCTCACAAGACAGACAACTTTGCATTACATAAAGACAGAATAGTTAAATAAAAAAGGTGATAATGAGATGGATGGAATGGTAGCATTGCTTGGACGGAGTACTATGTAATATGTAGTAGACTTAAGTAGTTTCACAGGTGAACACATATACATCTCGTTTCGAATCCTTTCTGTAGAAATGAACTTGATTGTTGAATAGGGACTGCAGTACATCCATGATATATACATGTACATCTTTGAACACTCAGAATAAGTACATTTTACATGTTAATACTCCATCAATAATTTATTGTATACTGTGTTTATGGATGAAAAAATGGTGGTCTTCACATCTTTTTAAAAGAGATGTTTAGAAACTACTGGATGTATACATGTACTATAGTGGGGTGTCATCACTCAATCACATATCATAAAAACTCTGCCAGATGTTTCTGTTATCACACAAGTGATGAAAATACCAAATTACAGGGTGATCTGATGTACACGGTACAACCAGTGTGTACTCACACTTCACTGCAGTTTGCACTCATTCTTCTAAATGGGAAGAGATAAGAAGTAACACTCTTTGATATTAATGGCTGGCATTTTTATCTGAACCACTTTCCTACACTGCATGTTAGCTATTTATGGGCCACACTTTTGATACATGAAATAAAACCTTAGTTGAAGTTTCTCTACATAACATTTGTGGGAGTCGTTTGGGGCCATTTGATCCTATGATAAACACAACTATAATAAAATGTGTTTTGTGTTTTATTTGTGAAATAAAATCATATATATGTAATAGTATATATTTCAAACTAACCACCCAGATTGAGAATATTGCCTTACATATAGTATTCAAGTTATTTTGGACAACTTGAAACTTAATGTTTTATTAAGCATAACTTCTTGAACATAATTGAAATGTATGACACATTCATAAGATCATACAAGAAGAATCCACACACACACACACACACACACACACATACACACACACACACACACACACGAACGAATAACACCTTATAAATTCAGAGTTAGATACAGTAGTGCCAAACGATGAATAAAACTGATTGGCATGCAAATTACATGTAAGTGCTAACTTACTGTGATATCTGATTTGAAGAAAAGAACTCTCCAAGCATACAGCATTTTATCAGATACAGTACTTTTGTCCAACAGATCAGTTAGGCAAGATCACTTAGGCAGTTTCTGTATATAGTTCATACTTAATCTAATTCCAATATAAGAAATAACACTTTTGGTCTCGGACCGTTTAATCTCACACCATGAAATATTTGACCTTTAACCATCAAATTTCACCTCACATAATCAGATATTTAATCTTTAACCATTAGATATTTGACCATACACCATTAGATATTTTTGACCATACACCATCAGATATTTTATCATAAACAATTTGGTATATAATGTTTTCAATTTTTTTGTTTTTATCCAAATGTACTTATATCAAAAGCAAAGGCTGATTGACAACATCTGACAGAGAATTAACACAGCAGATTAAGGTCCTATTTAATTGATTTCTCATTTTTATTAGTTATACATTGTTTGTTCAGCAAAATATTTCACCAAATCATCATTGAGAAGAGAGTATCATTAGCAGGGTGAAAACGTTGTTGCATTACTGTTACAGAAAGTTCGTTGAGGGTATTCTTATCTTTCATCATGTAAAACATTTGTGGAATTCAATGCCCCATTGCTTCCTCTTAGCAGGTCAACAGTACACTGGCATGCTGCTGTACTGTACAGTATATATAGCACAGATAAACAGAATATAGGCTAAAGTGTTTCATATTTAACCCTTTCTTAACGATTGTTACAATCATTGCTTTTCTGTAAACAGATCAATATTATACAAGTTCAGATGCATGTATACATGGAGTACATTTAAGATAAGTTAATTTGTAACAGCTTTGGGCCAGAATTATACACAAATATGTAATGAAATCATGAGATTATTAGAAGAGGATATTAATTTCACTGGTTAGTGATTTTTTTTTCATTTTTGTGATGGTCAACTCAATCTTAACACTAGGCGCTTACTGATAAATGCTATGGTACTGGCAACACACAGTTACAAAATATTCAATTCACCTCTGAACTGAGCTTTGTGATATCTGAATAAACTTTTGGATTAAGGTGCTTGGTACTTAAATCTATCTTACTTCTTAACTGAGTTAAAAAAATTCACAACTCAAAATTTAGTTATACAGTACATTGTATTTTGTTGACATCATATCGAATACACAAAATTACCCCTATCATGTTTTACAGAACACAAATCATCACCTCTGTTTCATGTTTAAGAATACAAAAACAGTTGACTCTGCTTTATAGAACACATCATTACCTCTATTTCATGTTTAAGAATATAAACAGTTGACTCTGGTCTATAGAACACAACATTACCTCTATTTCATGTTTAAGAATATAAACAGTTGACTCTGGTCTATAGAACACATCATTACCTCTATTCTATGTTTTGGAAACCTGTAATATTTCGCTAGTTAGTGAATTGATTTTCCCTCTCTAACCCTGACCTAATGAAGCTCTGAATTTTACCAGTAAAGGCTCCAAGTTATATCGTTGTTGAAACTCTTCCTTGCACAATGTACTTAACATGACCCTTATACTGATTAAACAATATCCATGGCCCTTATACTGATTAAACAATATCCATCATTATTGATGGGAGACTGCAAAGGACACACATAAGACCTTTTAATACAAATTTAAGATTGAATAAATAAGGGTTATAATTAAACTGCATCATACAGCTGTTTTATCCAAAGATAGTTTTTGAATCCATATAGCTAGTATTTTGATACGGACAGATAAATAATTTTTCTTTGGTATTACAGAGATGCTCATAACATGGAACACAAACCTCTCCCAAAAGAGCCAGATAGCAAGGAGGAGAGAAAGAAAGTCAAGACACCAAAGAGTAAGTCTTTAGTTCCGTCTTTTTTTTAGTTGTAATATCTCTGCAGAAAGAGGCGGAGGGCAAGGAGGCACAGGAAAAGACAAATTTTAGTTTTGTCTGTAAAGTTTTCCCATAAAATTTATGTGGTTTTTCTTTTCAAAGTTAAAGGCATTCCTGGTGTGTAGTCTCTTTAAATCTTTAGAACTGTAAGTTTTAAATATCATCATCTATGGAATTGTGTATTCAAAAATTACATGTAGGTCCAAATGTTACGTAGTTTTGAGGATAGAAACATTCGATACTGTGCAAGAGTGTCTTCCATCAAGGTTGTTAAGGTCACCCTGTTTGCTGTTTTTATTAATTTGAGTAGTGCCCTAATTAACCAGTGTTAGCTAACTTGATATCAATTCATTACATTATTTTGTGAGAAGCCTTTGTAATTTGTTTAGTTGGAGAATGATACCAAAACAATAAAAATGATATCAGTTGTTTGTATTAATCTGATAATCAAGTATGAGAGAGTTAGGTTTCACCCTTACATCTCTGTCTCACCCTGTTCACTGATACGTCCTGATTTATGATGTATAAAAATTGTTTAATAGCTAGCCTAGATTTACTTTTATAATACTTTGCTACATAATACAGTTAATAAAATAATGTTTGTAAGAAAATTTATTATATATATTTACCTCTTATTCAACGACTGCGGCCATGTCAATACTTTACCAGGCGTCCTGTCAACTGGCCCTAACAGGAAGTTCTAGTTTGTAAGCTTTAATTGTCCACCTACTGTAGAAACACTTGTGTAGTGTGATTCATGGGACTTCCTGCTAGGGATTATGGGTAATAGGGTTGAAGGGGATGAGCAAAGAATGTAATCAGCATTATGGAAAATAGGATGAAATCACTCCCTCGTTTTCACAGGAACTGAAGGCTCCATATAGCATGTTGACCAGTGGTCTGCCTGTTTTGACCTTGCTATATATCAGGTCGTTGTTGGAACGTCATCAAAGATTGTATGTAATGGCAGATAACTTTTAGGAGAGGATTCGAGGATGATTTGAGAAAATCTTTCTTTGTCGTTCTTCTTCTATTTTTTCCTGGAGATGTAGTTGATGGAGTAGCTGTGAATGCTTCGTATTGTTGTGGATTATAAGTGATTAAATATTAGTGAGGGAACAGGATCTCACCAGCATAGTGTATAGTACGACTACGGTACACCCTTCAGCTTCTGTCTGGCAATAAGTGTTCAATAATGTCTTCATGGAAGCGATCTAGTGGTGGCTCTGGTCAAGGGTCAAGGTCAAGTGGTTCAGGACAAGGGTCAAGGTCTAGCGGCTCAGGTCAGGGTTCATGGCAGTCTGCTCTAACGAGTACATTGCGCAGGATGAGTGGTGGACACAAGGGTTTGTAAAATCATAATTTTTTGAAAAACTCTCTTAAAGATTTAAAGTTGACTTTAAATCATATTACCTTTGATATAATATGAAAGAATGTTTTGATTTCTTAACAGTGCATTGAAAATTAATTTCTGTTTACAGGTAGCAAGGTGGCCAGACTGAAGGACATGGAGAAACCAGTGATCTCTCCACCATCAAACTTTGAACACACGGTCCATGTTGGTTTTGATGCACACACTGGGGAGTTTACAGTACGTTTATATTGACTTTCTAGTGAATTCACAGATTCACATGATACTTATCAATGTAAATCACAAATATTTTGTACATTGAAAATACTATTTGAAAATGTATGATATGGTTGTACTTATTTTTTTTTTATTTGATTTCAGGGAATGCCTGAATCATGGGCAAAACTGCTGTCCAATTCTAACATATCCATCACAGAACAGAAGAAAAACCCACAAGCTGTCTTGGATGTCCTCAACTACTATGAAACCTCAACAAAGACAGAGGAGTCACGTCATAAATACATGACCAACGTCAAACCACCTAGTATGTCATTTATACAATCACAAGAGATCTCCCCCCTCACCTCCAATATAAGAGGAATAATTATTTCTCCCCCAATCACCTCCAATATAAGAGGTATAATGATTTCTCCCCCAATCTCCTCCAATATGAGAGATACAATGATTTCTCCCCAGTCACCTCCAATATGAGAGATATAATCATTTCTCCCCAATCACATCCAATATAAGAGATATAATGATTTCTCCTCCAATCACCTCCAATATAAGAGTTATAATGATTTCTCCCCCAATCTCCTCCAATATGAGAGATATAATGATTTCTCCCCAATCACCTCTAATATGAGAGATATAATGATTTCTCCCCCAATCACCTCCAATACAAAAGATAATGATCTCCCCCCTCACCTCCAATACAAATGGTTATGATCTCTCCTAGTCACCTCCAACATAAATTAACCCCACCACATCAATTAAAATATGCTCACTCTCGCTGCAGAAAGTTACTCACTCTTATGACCAGTGATACTTGTACTGCAGTATACTATATATATTTACAGGATGTGAGTATTATAGAAGTGATAATACACATGTATTATGTAAATATCTCTGTTGAAATGGACTGTGTATACATAGAAATCTTTATGACGATATACATTTGTAGTCAGAGCCTTTAGAATCAGCTGTTTACTGTATTTATAACTCGTCTGACATCAAGTGTTGTATTGTAAAATATAATAAAACTAGCATATTATAATTCACAGACAGAGGTTAAATTTTGTTTAGATTTTTATACACCCTGTACAGATAATAATAAAAGACTAATATGTTCTGTCATATAAACAGCTATAGACAGAAGTGGGGTCCCCAGATTGGAAATAAAGCTAAATGCGGCAATGATTTCATGAAATGAATTATTTGATTGTCAGATGACTATCAAGACCCATGCACCTTTTGATGCTGATTGTTAAAATAAAAACTTTGCTTTGTGTTTTTCAGGTGCGGATTCTATGCATAATGCCCTGTCAGAGAAACTTAACATTGTGGTGTCTTTGGTAAGAAATTTCCTTTCAGTTATAATATCACATAAGGTCTTAGAAAAATGGTGATAATCTAGATCAGCTGTTGATGTCACTTCATTTTCTTAATTTAAATCACTATTTTACATCTTGATAACTCCAACATAGTGATACCATAAATATCATCCATTGATATTACAGGGGTAACAATCACTTTCGCTGTTAGCACCCCTGTTAGGGGTGGCAGAGAGCAAAAGTTATCATAGCCATTGGAGTATTAAGGATGCATAAATATAGAAGGTTATTTTAAGCAAGATTGATTTCTTTTATTCACATTGTATAAAGTTTTAGCCAAGAAATATAACAGATTTGAATTATATTTGTGATGTAGACTGTTGTCATATTGGTACTCTAATTAGCTGTCTTCTACCACTTCAACGGCTAAGTTGTACAAGTGAATTTAAGCACCAAGATCAACTGATATGAATAAACAATACATACACCAAACAGAGGGCATTTCAGTAATGGCTACCATAAAAGATCCATGTTAAGATGACTACAGCTGCAACAGAGAAAAACTCCATAGTGACAGTGGTATATCTATTACTGGACCAGTGACATAGTGACAGTGGTATATCTATTACTGGACCAGTGACATAGTGACAGTGGTATATCTATTACTGGACCAGTGACATAGTGACACAGTGGTATATCTATTACTGGACCAGTGACATAGTGACACAGTGGTATATCTATTACTGGACCAGTGACATGGTGACAGTGGTATATCTATTACTGGACCAGTGACATAGTGAAAGTGGTATATCTATTACTGGACCAGTGACATAGTGACAGTGGTATATCTATTACTGGACCAGTGACATAGTGACAGTGGTATATCTATTACTGGACCAGTGACATGGTGACAGTGGTATATCTATTACTGGACCAGTGACATAGTGACAGTGGTATATCTATTACTGGACCAGTGACATAGTGACAGTGGTATATCTATTACTGGACCAGTGACATAGTGACAGTGGTATATCTATTACTGGACCAGTGACATGGTGACAGTGGTATATCTATTACTGGACCAGTGACATAGTGAAAGTGGTATATCTATTACTGGACCAGTGACATAGTGACAGTGGTATATCTATTACTGGACCAGTGACATAGTGACAGTGGTATATCTATTGCTGGACCAGTGACATAGTGACAGTGGTATATCTATTACTGGACCAGTGACATAGTGACAGTGGTATATCTATTACTGGACCAGTGATATCTTCATACTTTAAACTTGACACTAGATCCACAGTAATGTCCTTAAAACTTGTCATCAGGATAAATGTTAGCAAAATCAGACATTCTCATTTCTGCATAATTTCTATTCATGCATGTTTGGTTTTCACATTTTGACAGGAGAAATCGTTTAAGTTTATTTAGACCACGAACAAATCTAGCTGTATGCATGTGTGGGTACTAAGGTGGCTAATATCAACTTTGATACATTCAAATTAATAGCACCAATATTTGTGTTATTATCGAATCAATATTTATATCAGCCACTGTATATAATGTTGATACTTTGTTATACAACTTTTTAACATATACTGCTGATGAGAGGCATTTTGACATTTCATTTAAGTGTATTATATTCATGATATGACTAAACAATTTATAACATTTTTCGTAGTGAAATATCTGGTCATATATTGAATTTTTATATTTGTAATATTAAGGGAAATAAAGTTAGTAGCAAAGGTCTCTGTCCACGTTCCAAATGATTCATCAACATGAACATCTGCTACTACCCAATGGCTTCTGTAAATCAGGATAAAACAGAAACAAAACCTTTCACCTGTAACAATTGATTAATAGTTTATTTGGTACATCTCCAATAGGCCTCTGATTAACCAGATCTACAGTGGCTTTGTCAGCAAGTTACGCTATACTGTAATTTCATCAAACCCCATTCTTCATACTGGTTTTAAATTTCAAAAATATAATTTTGTGAAACAAAATCATGTGCTGATATGAAATGTTTTGCGTTATTCAATTTCTAAGACAGAAATTACAGAAGATGATAATTGAAAAAAAAAATTAAGAATGGTAGATTTTAAAGATTTTCTCAAAAATTGTACATTAGATTAATAATGCAATGTAACTAAACATTGATATGTATTGATACATTAATATTTCTGCTGGAAGAAATCATTCAATAACCAACCAACATTATTGAATGTTTTGGATCAGCATTGCCTATCATTATTGATAAAGACTATATTCGGGCAAATTAAATGAGATATTTATGGTATTAAATAAAACCCCATAGCTGCATCAGACTAAACATCATTAGAGATATGAATTTACTCTTGGATTTAAATTACACAGGTTCACGTTTTTGTTTTACATTCAATGGAAAATGTGAAAGCCGAAATTTTGAATTTGATTTTGTGAATGTAAATGTAAAATAATCCATACCCTGAACTCTGTTTGTTTCAGCAGCCTCCAGCTTCCAAACCAGAAAACTCCTCAACACCCACACCTGATGATGTGGACGAGGAAGATAACGAGGCTCCACCACCCCCAATAGCCACACGGCCAGACAAAACAAAATCTATAGTGAGTGTACATTTTGTAGAAACCTTGATTTTAAAAGCAGGTCATAGCGGAGCTCTTCTTATATAGATTAGCCTGCAATGTCATTATGTTATTCAGAGATGAAAAATTTCCGCCAATCGGCGGATTTCCACCTTTTTCATGACAAATTGGGTCATTTTTGAGATCGATGCAAATCCGGTGAGAAAATTTCAGGGGTGGGTGGGGGGTTAGGTATGTCTTGATGATGCATTTTGTTTTTAAGCAACCTTCGTCAACTCCATTCTTAAATCCTTCCATTTATATGCCCTTATAAACTGTAAAATTAAACATCGAGCAGTTACAAGCACCAAGTTTCCAGTATTGTCAAATCGATAATACGAAGGAAGATAACTCTTACATCAGTCAAACGTTTGAAAGCTATAGTTGAATTACAACAGAGAGGAAAAATTTCCGCCGATCGGCGGATTTCCGCCTTTTCCAATGCCAAACACTTTCATCTCTGTAACTCATAGTAATTTATTGTTATGTTTTTACTTGCAGTACACAAAACCTATAGAGGCAGATGAGAAGCCGAATGGTGCAATTTCTACAAAGAATGAAAAGCCAAAGAAAAAGAAAATGTCAGATGAAGAGATCTTAGAAAAATTACGAACAATAGTTACTATAGGAGACCCGAATAGGAAATACACAAAGATGGAAAAAATAGGTCAAGGGTAAGACTTTAACCTCCTCAAATAGGTCATGGTATGACCTTGTACCTTTCAAATTAGGTCATTGCTATGATATTGTACCCTTAAAGGTTGGTCAAGGTTTATATCTTGTGCCTCCATAAGAACATCAAAATAATGATCTTAATGTATTGAGTGAAATATAACAAACAGGCATTGCCACGATATATGACACATGCAGGGATAGACTGAGGCCAAATTTGTTTGGTATAAAGATCTGAAGTGGGTGAAATTTCTCATAAAGCTGCTGCAACACTAACGTTTTGAAGAAGTCACATTTTATTGCATCAGCTGTTATATATCATTATGTTTGATTTAATAAACATGTCCATCCCTGTAATTTTTCAAACTTGAGTTTTTAGTTGCAATATTTGTTCCACATCAGATGGAAATGTATCCATGTTAGTAGTTTTACCAAGCACACCTTTTTTATCACTTTTTTATAAGTACATATTAAGCTTATTAGATCAATTATGGTAGAATAAGAAATGAATGATACAGCATGTTCTGAGTTTTGGAGAAATGATCAGCATGTAATTTAGAATTTTTTTTTCACAGAGCTTCTGGAACAGTGTATATAGCTGTTGAAGTGGCTACAGGAAGAGAAATAGCCATCAAAACAATGAATCTGTCACAACAACCAAAGAAAGAGCTTATTATCAATGAAATTCTAGTCATGAGGGAAAATCAGAACCCAAACATTGTTAATTATCTAGACAGCTACCTGGTTGGAGAGGAACTATGGGTAAGTTGTAACTATTTTACACAGCGACCCGTTCAGGAGGAATTGTGGGTAGTAACTATTCAACCAACTACCTGTAAGAGAGGAATTATGTGTAGTAACTATTTACACAACTACCTGTAAGAGAGGCATTATGGATAATACACTATTTACACAGCTATCTGAAAGAGAGGGATCATGGGTAATAAACTATTTACACAGCTACCTGTTTGAGAAGAATAAAGGGTATCATGTATACTTGTAGGTAGCTACATATACCTGTTTGTCATTTTTCAGTAAGCCGATGGGATGAACACATAATACTCCAAGAAATAGTTTGTTTATTACAGGATAATGATATAGTGCTTATTAATATTTTTATTAAACATGCAGTAGATGAGGATGGGTTAATTACTAGAAATGGTGTTCTGTCAGATCAATACAGTTGGAAGGTGTTATTATTCTATGGATATTTTAACAATCGTTATTTATACACGATGTTTAGTGTGAATTATTGCTTTGAAGGTTGTAATGGAGTATTTAGCTGGTGGGTCACTGACAGATGTGGTCACAGAAACCTGTATGGACGAGGGACAGATCGCTGCTGTTGCAAGAGAGGTAAGACTCACCAGTGTCAGTTACATTTCAGATAGTTGAACTTTATCTGGAAAACATCTGGAGAGCATAACAACTGTAAGGTAAAAAGTGCAAAAGAATAGATAAAAGCAGCTATCAGATAACTTCAAAACAATGGATGGAATATTGTAGAAGTGTTGTGATTTAGATGTATTGAACTGAGATAAAAACTCACTCAAAATAATTTCAGGCTATAATGACAGCTAGAAAAAGACTCTCTATATGCAGTGCAACTGTATATTTTTCTTTACAGTGTCTACAAGCCCTGGAGTTCCTACACGAGAACCATGTAATCCACAGAGATATCAAAAGTGATAACATCCTTCTTGGCATGGATGGAAGTGTGAAATTGAGTGAGTTATCTGCCCTTGGCCTATAGATAGTACACTTCCTTTAAGGCATGGATGGACAATTTTTATTCAGTGATCTTTCATAGAGAAAAAAAAGTATTTTTGAACTGAACACTGCCCTTTCTCATCAATAGAAGCAAACAGAAATGACAAGTGTACATGTGTTTTTTTACATTTACAGCTGATTTTGGGTTCTGTGCGCAGTTGTCAGCTGAGCAGAGCAACAGGATAACCATGGTGGGAACACCTTACTGGATGGCCCCAGAGGTTGTCACTAGGTAAGATAAAACAGCCATTGTTGGTACACTCTACTAGATGGCCCCAGAGGTTGTCACTAGGAAAGATAACACAGCCATGGTTGGTACACTCTACTGGATGGCCCCAGAGGTTGTCATTCGGTAAGGTCATACAGACTCGTGGGTCACACCTTACTGGATGGCTCCAGATCTGGAGGTCGTCACTAGGTAAGGTCAAACAACCATGGCTGGTGCTCTCTAATGGATGGATACAGAGCTCAATGGGATAGCTCAAGATCAAAACAGTCATCACTACCAAGGTTAACTTGTCACTGAAACATCATGGTAGAAATGGTCATACTGTAGCTCTGTCAAGATTCTTGCAGGCTAAACCTTGTTTTATGAATGTCAAAATAGAGAGACATAAAGTTGAATACTTGTTTTGTCTCTAGTCGGAACTTGATTTTATTTCAAATATACTTTTTGTATATATGCTTCACAATGCTTTGTCATTTCCCTCAAAAGATATGATTTTGTCTTTTGCTTCAGTTTTCAGATTTTTTTTAATGAAAATGTTTCCAGAAGCATTACTCAGGTATATCATAACTAAACAAGCAGCATCTAAAAGAAAACTAATTATTTTTTAATGTGTAGCAAAAGATAATGAGACTGTTTTACTGAGTGTATTATATTGTGATTGATAATTCACTGACATCAATTTTTGATTACAGGAAGCAGTACGGCCCGAAGGTTGATATATGGAGTTTGGGTATCATGGCAATAGAAATGATAGAAGGGGAGCCTCCTTACCTTAATGAGAATCCTCTACGGGTCAGTATACCTTTGTTTGTCCGGTGTTAATCTAGAGTCAGTTACCCTTTAGTTTGACTGATTATCATTTTATGTATTTCAGGGCTGGTGTAATTCTGATCAATACTAGCTGTAATATAAGTGTTGCTCGACTAGGGAAGTCTTCCCCACCACCAATAAATACACATGTTACAGGCCTTTTACTTATACATACCTTGTGTATTGAACATGATGTCTATTATTTCACTTTATACTCTTTGTCTATATACAAAATCTTGTTCTCTCTAAATATTATTTTTGATTACAAGCTTATAATTTTTGTATCAACATTTCACTCCATACTCTGCATTGTTTGAAAATGTCACATTTTTATTGAAAGCTCTTATAAAATCTCATATCATCATTTTACTTCATACTCTGTGTAAAAGTTTTCATACTAACATTTCACTACATGATATTCTGTGTAAATATATCATTCTTTCTTTTGCAGGCTCTCTATCTGATTGCTACCAATGGCAAGCCTGACATCAAAGAGAAGAACAAATTATCACCTGTTTTCCAGGATTTCCTTGACAAATGTTTGGAGGTTGATGTTGATAAAAGATGCTCAGCCTCAGAGCTACTCAAGGTAAGGTTGAATCCTTCAACTTTCATTTATTACACTGCCTAATTTTGCTGATGTAGATAGAGTTATGGCCCTTTGAACATTTTGTTTTTTCTTTAATTTAAAATTATTGTATATTAATGATTGCTTGATGATGACAGTGTTTTGATGATGATGATGATGATGATGATGATGATGATGATGATGATGACGATGACGATGACGACGACGACGATGACATAATTATGAGTGTTTCACAAGTTTGATCTTTCTTATTTTTTCAATTCTTAGATAAGTTTTTTTATGCTATCGTCTTTAAAAAAAAAACAAAAAAAACAACATTTTATTCACCAAGACCAAGATGAACATCTAAAATACTCCCCTTCCTTTTATGACCACACACACATCGTTACACTCAAGCTGATATGTACAGAACAATTACTGTCTGTCTTTATACCTTACATGTGATATAATTATATCTTGCACAACATACATACCTGGTACCATACAATTGTCATACCTGTTATTTTCTTTTAAGCACACACATTTTTGATAACACAAATGATAAGGTACTTGATTTTCTTTATAAATATCACCAAAGCTGAAAACGGAAATCATAGGTAACCTCGATAATAATGGAGCATGTGATATGAACTTAATTAATTTGATTTTAAGTTTTCAGCATTATCACAAGATTGCTATATAATAAGTAAAACAAATTGTATGTTTCTCTTTGTTTGACAGCATCCGTTCCTGCGTCTTGCAAAACCACTGGCAAACCTCCAGCCATTAATTCTGGCTGCCAAAGAAGCTCAGAAAGGACATTAGGTCAGCGGGAGTTTAAATGTCGTTTATCAGATATAGTGTCTTTATCTAATGAGAGTGTTTGATTGGTATATAAGTACATCCTTGTGTTTAAATGTCGTTTATCAGATAGAGTGTCTTTATCTAATGAGAGAGTTTGATTGGTACATAAGTACATCCATGTGTTTAAATGTCGTTTATCAGATAGAGTGTCTTTATCTAATGAGAGAGTTTGATTGGTACATAAGTACATCCTTGTGTTTAAATGTCGTTTATCAGATAGAGTGTCTTTCTCTAATGAGAGTGTTTGATTGGTATATAAGTACATCCTTGTGTTTAAATGTCGTTTATCAGATAAAGTGTCTTTATCTAATGAGAGTGTTTGATTGGTATATAAGTACATCCATGTGTTTAAATGTCGTTTATCAGATAAAGTGTCTTTATCTAATGAGAGTGTTTGATTGGTCTATAAGTACATCCTCGTGTTTAAATGTCGTTTATCAGATAGAGTGTCTTTCTCTAATGAGAGTGTTTGATTGGTCTATAAGTACATCCTTGTGTTTAAATGTCGTTTATCAGATATAGTGTCTTTATCTAATGAGAGAGTTTGATTGGTCTATAAGTACATCCATGTGTTTAAATGTCGTTTATCAGATAGAGTGTCTTTCTCTAATGAGAGTGTTTGATTGGTATATAAGTACATCCTTGTGTTTAAATGTCGTTTATCAGATATAGTGTCTTTCTCTAATGAGAGAGTTTTATTGGTACATAAGTACATCCTTGAGTTTGGTGTTCAGCTTCTTTTTCCAAGTGTTTTGTATGATATTGTAAAATAACTGATTTTTCTCCATAACTGTAGTTTCACAGAGTATCTTATAAAATCTGCCAGTGATCAAGTCAAGACTCTGGACAATTCAAAGTTTTAATCTTTGTATGATTATGTAGGACAATTCGAAGGGTCTTGAGGTTGTAATCAGATTTTGACTTTGATAGGAGCAGAACATTGTGCCCAGACATGCAAACATATAGGAATGAATACTCAAAGCTTTGGTTTGTTGCCTCTGTCAGATATCTACTTGTATTTTGTAAATTAATTATAACAATTCTATAAGAAAAGGGATTGCAGAGGGTAGGGCCTTTGATATAGTAGAAATGGTAGAAGTTTGGTATGTACAAGATTGGTTAACTAGGTAAAGGGCACAGAAACATTGACTTAGATTAGAGGATAACTGTAGTGTGTTTTGTTATTTATAGTTACATGTCATGATTGTGTTATTGTAGATTGAATTTTACTGGTGACAGTATATTGACGTTGTACCTACTTAATTTTGAAAACATAGTACAGTCTTCCCAAAGCTTCATCATATATACTATGATAATGCAGTGTAGAATTCATTGTTTTTAAAATGGGCTACATACATGAATGAAATATTTGTGAAAATTATATTATGGTCACAATATAACCAATCACATAATCATCTTGACATGGCATAATATTGGGCAGTTTTGGTACACGCATAAAGATACAGATATTCTTACCTGTATTCTACTGTAAGCTGTATATTTATAGGTATGTTAATTTTTTGGGGTGCAGATCAGATATTTATTTGTTGTGTCAACTGACCCTGTGACTACTATTTGCAGGCAGTTGCTGACCGATGGTTTCTGACAGCGATTCTGTGATGACATAGTTTTCTCTGTGGAAGGGAAAGGACAATGTTTAGACCACATAGCCAGCTTCATCTTTAGATCACCATGGTGACATGGTCTGCGTGATGTCAGTCTTCCAAAACCAGCTTGATATATAGTGTACTTACCCACAATCTGTATTGTAGTCATGATTTGACAATGCCACAGTGCTGATTTTGGGAAAGCAGTGTGTCCCATTATATTAGTGGAAGAAAGTGCACTGTACAATGTGAGATTGATCAATCTGTGGAGCTGTGAACCCATGTGGAAAGAACCAATTCATCCATTTGTGAACCGACATTAAACAGATGGATTCTTGCTTTTTTGAACTCTGTTTAAAAGAGTAATAATTTAGAAATGTTTGCAAACATGGAAAGGACTGCTTGAATGAACTTAAAACCACACAGGAAGGATGGTTCCAAATGAGAACCCTCTTAGAAAAGACTTCTTTGTTAAGCTTTGACCCTGTACAAATTTTCTAAACCAAAATGAATACAAACCAATCAGAGAATAATTTTGAAACCCCTGTCAAAGGACTGTTATCGTTGTATTGCAATGAATGTTTTAGTGTAAACGTCAGCTCGGAGTAAAGTAGTAAAGAAATGAATAGCTAGGTATGAATGATAACACGTTTTTAAAATTTAATTGATGGGTCATTTAGTGCTTGTACAATTCAAATCAAAACGGAAAACATGTAAAATGAGGACACTTCTAGGTCTTTTTGTCATGGAGAATTCATGGACAAATATTTTTTGAAAAAAATTACATTTATCGTTTTAGTGAGCAGTTACGAGATGTATTGACAGCCGGTTTCTGTCTTTACCACAAGTTTGGAATGTAGAAACTATAGCACAGCCATTGTCTTAACGATTTGTAAAATTGCTAGACCTGCATTGAGTCATTAAATGTTGGCAAAAATAAGCAGAAAGATCAGTAGGTGAAAACCATTATTAAATACTAGATCTAGTGTAGGAAGCTGCCAGCTGACTCTCTGCCTTTCTCCAGGCAGCCATCTTTCTGCTTTCTCCAGACAGCCATCTTTCTGTCTTTCTCCAAGCAGCCATCTTTCTGTTTTTCTCCAGGCAACCATTTCTCTGTCTCTCTCTTAAGCTATCCATCTCTCTGCCTCTCTCCAACTATCCATCTCTCTGCCTTCTCCAGCTGTCCATCTCTGCCTTTCTCCAGGCAACTATTTAGCTGCCTCTCTCCAGGCAACTATTTATCTGCCTCTCTCCAGGCAACTGTTACTGTGCTTCTCAAGGCAACTGTCTCTTGACTTATCTCATGGCAATTGAACCTTAGCTTTTCTCCAGCCATCTCTCTCTCTTCCTCTCTCCAGTCATCCGTCTTTCTGTCTCTCTCCAGGCAGCCATCTCTCTGCTTCTCTCCAGAAAACTATCTCTCTTCCTCTCTCTTTTTTTAATTCTTGTTAAGAAAAAAAACCAAACAAGGATAATCAAGACAATGGTATTTAATGAGTCATAGGATGATCATGAGTAAGGCACTATTGCGAAGAAATATTGTGTTGCTGTAGTTAAATCTTGACACAGAAACAATGGCATGTTAACAATCTTAAAACATTACTATTCAAGAAATCTCAAAAACATCCAAACACTATGTGACGGTATTTGTGTTATATGATGGTACATTGTATGATGTTGTAGATGGTGTGAGGAGTCTGCTGGACAGAATTAAGACATCTGTGTGTTATACATGTTTAAACAATTATGTATAAATGAGTAACAAGAATTAATCTAGTTCTTTCTATCGCACTGCTGCATAATATTGAATAGAAGATTTTGTCACTGTAGTTGTCTCCTAATGACTATGTTAGTGTGTTTATACACTCCTATATGTGGCTGCAGTAGCAGCCTATGCGCTATTGTTACATCATTGATGTTTATGTCAAAAAACTTACACAAAGAAGTTGCCACGGAGACAATGGATCGGAAGCTAAGATATCATAAAGATTTAGTAACTTTGATCATATAATTAAAAAGATATTAAATTTGTCTCATTTTCATATGCGATAAATATCATGAAACACTTGTCACAAAGTTTTAAGCTTGTCAGATGCTTGCTAGAATTAGAAATTTTTTTGACTTTTGTTGTTATTATCACTAAATCATATACATTATATACGATCCTAGATGGATGACATTACAAGCACCTGTGCATACAATGAAACCTTGTTACTATGGCGACCAGAGTCATGTTGATGGGTAATGATATTATCACATTACAGATTACAAAGTCTTTTGTCCTAGATTCACAGAAATTAGGTAACAAGTGGTTGTTGGACATCATTTGTACTATTGTGCCTTTGGTTTGCTAAGTGTTTCATATTAAGCACTAATGTGTTTTTAAATCACACAACACTTTTGCTCAATGTTGGATTTCTTATTCATAGCATCTTTATGTTGCTTTTGGTAATTACATCCAATCAGATTGATGATTTTATTTCAAGTAATGAATGATGATCACAGTAAGTGTCACATACCTGAATGACTCTTAGTTCCTGCTGTAGTACTGGTACATATAGCTTAACTACCACAAACTTTGTGAAATAGTTTATTATTGAAGCCAGCTATAAGTTTCCTTCAGGAGTTTAGGGACTTATCTACTTTTCCATCTGTAGAAAGCAAACTGAAATTGAATTTGTGTTTTGTTGGCATGTGCTTGATTTCATTCACTGTGATGATGTACATGCATTATTAACAGATATTCATATTTTATCAAAGTTTCTAATTTTTTTTGGTAATTACCAGGTATTTAATTTTTATTAATCTAAATAGTGCTACTCTCATAATGCAAGGCCCTTTATTAAAGTTGCTTTTGCATAACTTGTTGAAACCACTAGACCATTTGAATCTGCCAGAAAAAATGCCGGGCTCAGATCACACCGAGTCTGGACAGCAGAATATTTGGTGTGTACAGATTGAGGGTGCAGTCATAACACTCCGAAAGTAACTCGTTATATTTGTAGTTTTCAGAATTTCAGCACATATTTCCAAAAGTATTAAGTATGAGATCAATGGATGATATCTTATTTTTAGGTCATTGTTTTATTCCTGAGAGGAAATTCTGAAATTGTACAAAAGAAGCCTAGGATATGACATGTTGGTTACCTCACAGCTTAAAATTACATATTTCATATCATGACTATTGAATGCAGTCGGTGATTTTTTCTGTAGTGCTCATTACTTATATCTGATAATACCTATACACTGTTAACATTCACTTCATCATTATACATAGAATGACTCAGTCTCTACACATGATGGTGTAGTTTGATGAAGATATAATCTGACAATTTGTGACATATATCAAACTGTGTTAAAGCTATTCCAGTAAAACATCTAACCAGGACTCTATGTTTGTATAGGGGTATCGTTGGCCATAGAATTTATTGATAATTTGCTAATAGAAGTAATAGATAGGAAACTCAACCATGGATGAAATTAATTTTAGAGACCTGGGATCAATGTTATACTGGAATAATGGTCAGTAACAATTCATCAGCCTTAACTTTATTATAGTATTTAGGAAACTAATTAAGGCACAGGTCTAAAAACAGTATATATAGTAACAGGTATGGTTGATGAAAGTTGATCACTTGGAAATAACTGGTAAAGAAAGATGATTGAATGAATACTGCCACATTGATGTGTTTTCCTAACTTTATGCATGGTATTATTGTATGTATAGAAGCATTTATTGACTGTGTATACTGCCCAACGTCCTGATGTCTTCCCTGTCTTTCTTGCTTTACTGTAGATAATAATATTGGTGAAGTATTGGTGCTATGTAGTCGCTGGTAAGAACATTACACACTTGTCATATCTAATAACATTTTATTACATACCTACTGTACTGTAAAAATACTTACCATAGCCATACTACAATAAACCCTTGTAATAAACCAATTGTTGACTTTGAGTTAGAGATAATAAATTGACTTTGAGTTAGAGATAATAAATTGACTTTGAGTTAGAGATAATAAATTGACTTTGAGTTAGAGATAATAAATTGACTTTGAGTTAGAGATAATAAATTGACTTTGAGTTAGAGATAATAAATTGACTTTGAGTTAGAGATAATAAATTGACTTTGAGTTAGAGATAATAAATTGACTTTGAGTTAGAGATAATAAATTGACTTTGAGTTAGAGATAATAAATTGACTTTGAGTTAGAGATAATAAATTGACTTTGAGTTAGAGATAATAAATTGACTTTGAGTTAGAGGTAATAAATTGACTTTGAGTTAGAGGTAATAAATTGACTTTGAGTTAGAGATAATAAATTGACTTTGAGTTAGAGATAATAAATTGACTTTGAGTTAGAGGTAATAAATTGACTTTGAGTTAGAGATAATAAATTGACTTTGAGTTAGAGATAATAAATTGACTTTGAGTTAGAGGTAATAAATTGACTTTGAGTTAGAGATAATAAATTGACTTCAAGGGCTTATATGACAAATGAGTTTACTATCTGACTTTAAATTAGAGGTGATTTATTGACCTTGAGGATAAATAAGTCCACACTCATACTTAGAGGTGATTTATTGACCTTGAGGATAAATAAGTCCACACCCATACTTAGAAGTGATTTATTGACCTTGAGGATAAATAAGTCCACACCCACACTTAGAGGTGATTTATTGACCTTGAGAACTTACAATTAGACAATAGGATCAAATAAGTCCACACCCTGACTTTGAGGTGATTTATTCACCTTGAGAACTTATAATTAGACAACAGGATAAATAAGCCCGCACTCTGATATATAGTCAACAAAGGGTCAATACTAAATTATTAAGGAGACACTTTCATTTTTTGAAAACTAAGATCTTATTTCATTCCTTACTGCCAGTAAATTGGTAAGACTTGTAAGATGCTCATAATTGGTTTTTGTGTATCAATTTTTTTTATTTCCATTTAATTTGCAAATAATTTGCTTTAATTTGAAAATTAAAATCATCAGTATAGATTAAATTTTTCAATGAGGCCTTGTACTGAATTATATTAACTTCAACTTTCAACTGCAGATTACAAGAAAGCAATAGACTTTTTGTACTTAGTGAACATTAGTGGGGTAGATCAGTGTTTTGTATTCAGAGGTCTGTGTTCATTTACTGGGTTACAAGAGGAGGAAAGTTCACCATAAAGAATGACAATCAATTCTTCAATCAAACGTTTTCCTTAGCTGTGGATATATTTAGATTTACCAATTAAATGATCATTGATGAACATTTACATTCTGGAGTTTGACCTGTATAATATCTTAGCATGCGACTTGAGGTTGATGTTGATGTTGCTTTAAATGCTTTCTAGGAGATAGCTTGGTGGTGCAGCTTTTATTCACAGCTCCTGATGTTCATTATGTGAGTACCTCTTACTTTCATATCTCAATGAATTGTTTGTCAAAAGGAACTCTCTCGCCATTATTTTTTGTGTTCTCAAACCCTATCATTTTCATCTGTTTTTCCATGTTACATCTCTGTTATTGATTAATGACATGAGGCTAGCTTATTATGTAAGATTGATCACTTTAAACCCTTTATCATAAATAACCATGTAACATGAACTTGTCCATTTATATTATGCATAATGATGCAAATTTTGTTTACATATATGAACATTGTTTAATGAATCAGTCATTTTTTTGCTTCACTTGTACTAGTCATACTGTAGCCCAACATTTTGTAGTTAACATACTGTAGACTTAGCTGTGTAGCTTATGTTTTTATAAAGTCATTGTACTTGTAAACGACATATGGTTCATAAATTATATGGACGATAAAAATAAAAATAAAAAACAATTATGAAAATTCAATGAAGTTCTTAGTCTTTTTTATATGACGGTTTGTGACTGGGTTCAGTCTGTAAACATATATGGCTGTACTTGTAAGTGTTTTGTCTGTCTGCTAGAAACCACATCACTAGTTCTGGCTTCTCTTCTGTCATAAGTAGGATCCACTGATTGTATATAAGTTGATATTCAAGAATTGAAAAGCCTTCTGTGAATTTTAAATATCTACTCCGGAAACCATCTCCTCTATGAGAATATTTTATTTTTCTAAGTGGAACAATAACATATTTCATTACATTTATGTAAAGTCTTAAGCACTTTCCACCATTGTTATATAGCTGCCAGTTCAAATTGCCCTTTCTCCATAGTCTGTTGTCTGGCCTTGCAAAATACTTGTATAGCAATTTTTTGCCCGTTTGCACATAGTGCAAATCTGGGTTATAGTATGATGAATGTCTGGCGGGCGGGGAAAAGGGGTACCAGTTTTGTAGAATCAACTCCTCCTAGAGTTTTTGTCATAGAAGCTTGAAACTTTGTAGAATGTTTATATATATGTTGAAGATGTGCACCTCCTATTATGGATTCATTCCAGACATTTTTCTAGATTTTCCGGGCTTGGGAACTTAGTCATTTTCTGCAGTTTGACAGGTAAATATTCTACATACTCAACAAATACCATATAACATTGCTCTCATCCCGCAACCCGGCCAATTGTGGCTTTTCCCCATTTTTCTTGAGATACATTGAATGAGTCTTTCTCAAATTTTATATGAAGACTCACTTTCATCCCTAATTATGGAGGTTCAGTTTTGCGGCTGATCGGAAAACAAAATGGCAGAAATGTGGCTATTATTGGAATAATTTTGAAAGCTGGAATTTGTTGTTGTCATTTCTTGAAGAACAAAGATGGATCTTTTTCCAATTTCATATGTTTATTCCCCTCCACCCCTTGTTGTTCATGTTCATTTTTTAAGTGGATAGTTTAACAAAAATGACTGAGAGGTGGCCATATTGAATTTTGCTAGTTGACATTGTTAAGGGTGTCTCCTTAGAAGCACAGGATGGATCTTTCTCTTGATTCTGTATGTCGACTCAAATTGGTAGTTGCTTGTGCATATTAAAAAACCTCGAACCATATATCACTCGTAACATATACCACTCATAACATGTACAACTTGTAACATATACCATTCATAACACGTACTACTTGTAACATATACCACTCATAACACATACCACTTGAAACATACTACTCATAACACATAACACTTGTAACATATACCACTCATAACACGTACCACTTGAAACATATACCACTCATAACACATTCCACTTGAAACATATACCACTCATAACACGTACCACTTTAAACATATACCACTCATAACACATACCACTTGAAACATACTACTCATAACACATAACACTTGTAACATATACCACTCATAACACGTACCACTTGAAACATATACCACTCATAACAAGTACCACTTGAAACATATACCATTCATAACACATACTACTTGAAACATATACCACTCATAACACATACCACTTGAAACATATACCACTCATAACACATACCACTTGAAACATACTACCCATAACACATAACACTTGTAACATATACCACTCATAACACATACCACTTGAAACATATACCACTCATAACACATACCACTTGAAACATACTACCCATAACACATAACACTTGTAACATATACCACTCATAACACATACCACTTGAAACATGTACCACTCATAACACATACCACTTGAAACATACTACCCATAACACATAACACTTGTAACATATACCACTCATAACACATACCACTTGAAACATATACCACTCACAACACATACCACTTGAAACATACTACCCATAACACATAACACTTGTAACATATACCACTCATAACACATACCACTTGAAACATACTACCCATAACACATAACACTTGAAACATATACCACTCATAACACATACCACTTGAAAGATATACCACTCATAACACATACCACTCATAACACGTACCACTTGTAACATATACCACTCACAACACGTACCACTTATAACATACTACCCATAACACATAACACTTGTAACATATACCACTCATAACACATACTACTTGAAACATATACCACTCATAACACATACCACTTGAAACATATACCACTCATAACACATACCACTTGAAACATACTACCCATAACACATAACACTTGTAACATATACCACTCATAACACATACCACTTGAAACATATACCACTCATAACACATACCACTTGAAACATACTACCCATAACACATAACACTTGTAACATATACCACTCATAACACATACCACTTGAAACATGTACCACTCATAACACATACCACTTGAAACATACTACCCATAACACATAACACTTGTAACATATACCACTCATAACACATACCACTTGAAACATATACCACTCACAACACATACCACTTGAAACATACTACCCATAACACATAACACTTGTAACATATACCACTCATAACACATACCACTTGAAACATACTACCCATAACACATAACACTTGAAACATATACCACTCATAACACATACCACTTGAAAGATATACCACTCATAACACATACCACTCATAACACGTACCACTTGTAACATATACCACTCACAACACGTACCACTTATAACATACTACCCATAACACATAACACTTGTAACATATACCACTCATAACACATACCACTTGAAACATATACCACTCATAACACATAACACTTGAAACATACTACCCATAACACATAACACTTGTAACATATACCACTCATAACACATACCACTTGAAACATACTACCCATAACACATAACACTTGTAACATATACCACTCATAACACATACCACTTGAAACATATACCACTCATAACACATACCACTTGAAAGATATACCACTCATAACACATACCACTCATAACACGTACCACTTGTAACATATACCACTCACAACACGTACCACTTATAACACATACCACTTGAAACATATACCATTCATAACATGTACAACTTGTAACATATACCACTCATAACACGTACCACTTGAAACATATACCACTCATAACACATTCCACTGGAAACATATACCACTCATTACATGTACCACTTGTAACATATACCACTAATAACACATACTACTCAAACACGTACCACTTCTAGTCCAGCGGTTAAGGGAGACAATACTTCACTTTGTGGGGAAAGCAAGAAACTTTTTTGTGGGTGGTGCGTCACAATACAAGTCATTTTCGATTAGGACCCACTTCAGAAACGCCCCTTGGTGGCGGCCATCTTGAAAACTAATATGGCGGCAAACTGGTGTATGTATTCCTCAATAACTCCGTTGTTAAGGCAAATACGGGCGTATTTTCAATGGCTACCCCCATGTTTTCATGGTCAGAGAAGCATATGAAACTACTCGTGACTCCCTGTTGTGTCCGCCATCTTGGATTTCAAGATGGCCGCCACTGTAACTGATTTTTACCATATTTTATAGACTATTGAAGACAAAATAATCACAAGGAAGAGTTGGGAGTATCAGATCATTATGATGACTGTCTTCTCAATATAAAATGTGCTCCAGGTGGTACCAGTTAGAATGGCAATTGGCCTATGTGTCCTAATCTTCAAAACCGTAACAACCGCAAAGTGTTGTGCACTTTAAGTTGGCTTTGAAACATTTGCAGTTTCTTTTACAAGCCAACTTGCAGTGGCAACACAACAACTCGTAGCAGGCTTTGGCTGCTTCTTCCAATCTTGTCCATACAGGAGTCCATCTTCCATCCTGCATCTTCCAGTCCCAGTATGAGGGGGAAGGGACTGTTGGATCGGTGGTCAATGCCTGTCCCCAGATGTACCCTGCTTGATAAACAGCCCGTTGAATGTGCTCCTTTAAGGCAGCTGAAGTTGGTGGTATGTTTTCTATTTCTCGACATCATTTTGTGAACAAGTACATCCTAGCCCCATTTACCCCTTCAAAAGCACTTGTCCGGTCGTACAACAAAACCACGAAACACTCAAGCCTAGCAATGAGATCATGTGTAACCTCTTCGGGTTGCGTTGACAGTTTCACGAAAGTATCTGTTACTTCAGGGTAACTCTCCCACGTTTGCCACGCAGATTTCTTTCCACGGCTTAAAAAGAAGGACACATTGTCACATCCAGTAAATGCATGGAAGAAACACAATCCTGTGGATTTAGCTGGACCAAGGTGAGTAGAAACAAGATGTTGCAATAACAGTCACATCTGTATCAACACTACGAATCATGACTTTTTCATGTCCACATAGGGCAGCATGCCTGGCGTGCAAGACAACTCGCGTATCAGCCTCCTCCTGTGAACATGGTTCAAGGCCCTGATTGTCCATATCCTTGACAGAAGAGATGACACTTTGTTCGGTGGTAGATATAATGACTTTGCCTTGTGAATTGCATCCAGTGCAAAGTGAAGTATTGCTTGAAATATGGCTCTTAACCGCTGGACTATTGTAACATATACCAATTATAACACATACCACTTGTAACATATACCACTCATAACACATACCACTTGTAACATATACCACTCACAACACGTACCACTCATAACACGTACCACTCGTAACATATACCACTCATAACACGTACCACTTGTAACATATACCACTTATAACACGTACCACTCATAACACGTACCACTTGTAACATATACCACTCACAACACGTACCACTCATAACACGTACCCCTTGTAACATATACCACTCATAACACATACCACCTGAAACATATACCACTTATAACACGTACCACTCATAACACGTACCACTTGTAACATATACCACTCACAACACGTACCGCTCATAACACGTACCACTTGTAACACGTACCACTTGTAAGATATATCACTCATAACACGTACCACTCATAACACGTACCACTTGCAACATATACCACTCATAACACGTACCACTTGTAACATATACCACTCACAACAC